GAGCTGCATGACGAGACGCGTGGTCTGATTCGTCGCCAAAGAAGTCATTGCCCTGTATCTTGGTGTCAGGTGAGAGGTGGAGAAAAAGAAAGTACACTGACATATCTTGCCAGTCCTGATTGTGTGACCTGCTGATTAGACGCAAGACAGGGGTCAAAGGTCTAGCGAGATATATGAGAGAAGGTGGGGATGCTCACGATTGGTGGGCGCACAACTCTCGGTTGGGTTGGGCTTCCCTAGTGAAAAGTGAGATGTAGTGCGAAAGAGAAGCAAAGAAGAGTTGCCTTGAGCTTTTGATCTGCAGCCTACATAGATAGCCAAAACCGTCAGGAAGGGAAATTAGTAGACAACAAAGCGCATACCTACCAGAGAATGTTTGAACGCCGCCTCCAGGTTCCATACATATATTTTGTTGTCTAGTCCAGCACTGGCAATGTATTTTCCATCGGGGGACATGACAACAGCCAAGACTTGGTCATCATGCAAGAGTGGATCTCCGACAGCCTGATTGGTCTTGAGATCCCAGATGCGAACGGAGAAATCATATGATCCGCTAACAATATACCTTTCATTGGGAGTAAGACAGAGGGATGTGACACCGTGGGTGTGACCCCGAAAAACGACGAGTTCCTGTCCATCATTCGCCCGCCATTTGCGGATGGTCCTATCATTTGACGCGGAGAAGATGTGTGCGCCGTCTTTCGACCAACACAAGGACATCACCACATCGTCATGTCCCTCGATCTCCATAAGCAGCTTTCCGTTCCTTGACCATATGCAAATCGGACCGTTCCCGCCGCTCATGAATTTGTCGCCTTGTGGAGAGTATTTGACGGCATAAACCCAGCCATGACTGGTCTTTATGGGTGGTGCTATTTGTCGACCAGTATTCGGGTTCCAGCGTCGTATGGTGCCGTCGTTAGATCCACCTGCTATCTCCAGGAAATTGCGACACCAATCGAGGCACCTCACTGCAGCATTAAGCCCCTCCCACGGGTCGCCGATCATGATGCCCTCCTTTATATTCCAAAGCCGCAGTCTGCCGTCTATACTTCCACAAACGACCATCGTTTCGTCTGGGGATACTACCATCGAACCTATCCCTCCCCCATCGCTATTCAAAGGTTTTCCCACTTCCTCTCCGTGTCTTTTCCACTGACGAATAGAACTATCCTCAGACGCACTCATTATATTGCCACTTGTACCCAAGCAGGCAAGGCTCCATATGCATTCGGAGTGACCCTCGATGACGCATTCCGGCATCAAACTTCCTGCCGGACGTTCTGGCTTTGGTTTCTTCCATGACGTGGTCCGAGTGTTGTGGTTGACAAAGTAGGACCGACCGAGTGGTGAGACGTGCCATTCCCATCCTGGAACAGCAAGATATCCAGGATAATCTATGTTCGGCGGTGAGTTCCTCGCTCCTTGTCGCAATTTCATCCCTCACCTAGTCGCACTCCTGGTAAAGGTCGGTTCCACGAAACTATCGTGAGCGTGTCATCTTGATATTGTATTTTACCATCCGACGAGGTCTTATACTGTTGCCACATAGGAGGAAGCGCTTCATTCCCACCTGATTCTAATTGAGTAAGCTGGTGGTATCACAAGGTAGCTGCTCACCTTCCCAAAGTGCATCCTGGCGGTGCTGTGCACCATACGGTGGTAAATATTTCGCGCTCGTCCGATATATCGATGCATGCAATGACGCTTCTCCTCGTCTCGTTGACATGCTTGACTCGGCTTCTTCGTGTTGCATGACAAGGATGTCACGTTTGTACAGACAGACTGGACAGTAAAACACTGCGCAAAGTCAATGATCAAGGGGAAGGAGAGATACGGGGAGAAAGTGATGAAGAGACCTGCTATTTGGGTGAGTTTTGCATGCTGTAGTTGCAGGCGCCCTAGGTTAACACCGCATGTCAATGGCTGTGTTACCACCTTGGTCCGGTTCAAATTTTGAGGCAGTTCGATGTACATCAGTCTGTCATGTACCGTCTCGTCACCGAGTTGAATTATATGATGTTTCTTTGAGCTGGTGCATACACATCGAATCTGTACGCTGCATAGTACATAGCAGCACTCCCAAGCAAATCACCACCAGCCAGTAGTGACAAGTGATTGCATGACTGCCAACGGGAACATGGATATATATATACAGGAGCCGCTTGATGTTGGCTGCACAATATTGCTATAATGAACATCCCCGGGCGTTAATATTGTCTTCCCGTCTTAATAAGAGAGTTTTGAACGTTCAACGTTCAATATCAAAGCCAAAGTCATGTTCCAATGAACGACAACAAACTTCATCAGCGTTCCCACAAATTGCAGTCAACGACCATGACCTTGATTCATTGAACGGAGGAACCCCGATGTAGGCCTACGCGGCATCAACCTGAGCGCTCTCACCTGTCTGCGTGACCTGCTGCACGACTTCACCCACAGCCGAACTGTTACTGCGCTTTTGTGCACTAGTAACAACCCCCAGCACGCTCGCTAGGCCCGCATTACACGCACCAAGACACTTTTTGAGTGCCTCCCATTGCTCTTTCTCAAACGTGTGGCTGACGAACGGTAAACGTATAGAGATTGGATAGTCTGCCTCGACACGTTCCTATGCGTATGGGCATGTGGATCTGAAAGATATATGAAATGAGTGATTGGACAAAGAGTCGGAAAATGTGATCAGGGTATTGGGATTACGAGTTAGCCAGTAGGGACACGAAGCAGAAGAGATGTTGAGAAACCAAGGTCGGAAAGAGGAGCAAGGTAATAGATCTTCAATGAAAGTGTTAGGAGAAAAGATAGACACAACAATCGCAGAACTGCATTGAGCGAATAGAGAAACACATGGATGCAGGTTTGCGGGACCGCGATGCTGTGGACGCTTCAACTGCGCAGCCTGTACTGAAGTTATGAAGCGAACACTGGAGAATTAACCAAAGGAAGACGGAAGCCGAAAAGACGCGTGCTTTGTCAGCCTGGTCACGTGTGAGATCAAGGCGCGTCACGCCACCTGGCATCCATAACAGAGCCTTCGCTATTTGCCTCAATTCAAACTACCATGGCGGCAGCAGCACGGTCAGATTCTTCCCTTCCATTATACTTTTGGAGTATAATAAACATCCTCTAGATCACTCAGCACCTGCATATTTTGCAAGATCATCAAGGGTGTGTTGACTTCTTCTCGTCATTCAACTACACCACCTTATCACGATTCACGGCGCTATTGTGTTCTAGGCGAGATCCCAAGCTTCAAGCTCCTCGAGACAGAAACTTCGTTCGTCCCTTTTCTTCCGTCGAATCGTTGGCACACATTTACCAGAGATCAGTTACTCATTCCTTGACATTGGCCCCCTCTCCAAGGGCCATGCTCTTATCATCCCTAAAGGTGCGTCAGCCGTGATCGGAAAGGGAAAAAATTATGTCACGAGTGAAGGCGCTAATATGCATAATAGACCACGCGGCAAAGCTACACGAGCTCCCAGATGAATACCTTACGGATGTGCTGCCCATCGCGAAGAAGATCGCCACTGCGCAAGGGCTTGAGAACTACAACATCCTCCAGGTGCGTTCCCATATACAATTATCGTCCCTCTCTCCCCATTCCCTGCTGTTGAACCTGCAGAGCTGACCCCACCACTAAGAATAATGGCCGCATCGCACACCAGGTTTGTCTGCGCCTTCTTTATTGGGCTTAGACAGATCGACTGACACTGGTTTACACGTCTAGGTAGTCGACCACGTACACTTCCATGTCATTCCCAAACCTGATGCGTCAGACGAGGAAGGGCTCGTTATCGGATGGCCCGCGAAGTCTGACGTCATGGAAGAAGTCAAGAAGTATCACCAGGAACTCCTTGGGAAGCTATAAAACGCAGATATCTGTAGCGCTCCTGAGTTGGTAATAAACGATGACGAAACTAGAAGGAAAGCTAATAACTAAATTCGCAATTAAATTGTATTCCGGAGTTTCCATTGATCTTAGAGCATTTCTCGGGATGTAATATATAGTAAGAGTTACTCCAACTGTTGTCAATGTCCTTTTTTCTTGCAGCCAACTGAAGGGGTGTCCTTGTACCGATACATGCCAAAAACCTGGATGAACTGGAGTGCCTTTTTATCCTAGACTCGCCATGAACTACGTTATGCATGCACAACAATCCACCACTCACCCTCACAAGAAGATTGTTGCCATCCCCAATATGTTTCAACACAGTATGGCACATATGGTCTGTTGGCTAATTGCGCGGGGAGCGACATCGGAATAACACCGATTCGACCGAAATCTCCTTCACAACTGAGAGCAACGGCTCAACAACATCCACATCGATTTCGCCCTGCAGCGCAGACGTGTGAAAGTCTATCACTTCCAATTTGCAAGTTGCGGTGACTGCCAACGCAGCCATAGTGCGATCAACCATCCATTTGGATGGGTATCCCACCAGAGTTAATTTCCGCAATACAGGAAGATGAAGGCCGTCAAATATTTCGGTAAGCCAGTCCGAAACATCATCACACGAGGGCAGAGGCAGAGTTAATGATTCGAGACAAGAATACGTGACCGAGTGGCCTCTAGCGTCATCATGATCACTAGTTACGACCGCCACCGCAATTGTCTGCAGAAGAGGGAAAATCATGGAAATGGAACGGATGATCCTGGAGGAAGTGTATTGGACACGAAGATGTCGTAAATTTTTGCAGGTAAGAATAGGACTGGTAGCGATATCCTCGATGCCCTTGCTGATACGCAGCTGACGGAGATTTGGTGCATTGAATCTGTTAAGACCTGACCAGCTACATTCCAGAGTTCCCAGCTGTGGCGTATCCAACTTGGAATTGAGCCATTCATCTCCGCATAACACACCAACCGTTTCCCACCGCCTGCTCTCGGCTTGAAGAATCTCGAGAAGTCGATGATCTGCGTGTGAAAGTGACCTGTAACTTTGTACGGAGCAAACGGCATTAAATATGTAGAAATTCCAGAATATATCGACCGTATAGATGCGAAGGGTGAGAGGCTGACCACCAGAACAGGCGAGCCAATATTGAAGCAGACATGGAAGAAATGGCTGCAATGATTCGTCTCCACCGGAAAGCATAACCTGTATGCGGGACCAAAGGCCCGGTGTTGATTGTGCTATGATTCGCCAATGGCGGCACACCCGGGTGAAGACTAGGGGAGGGCTGGAAAAATTCCCAGAGATACGGTGATTTATCGATTTGAAAATACTAGGACAGTCTGAGATGTCATTGACAATGAGTGAAAATATGTGCTGTAAAAGTTCCACCGGCAGCTGGTGTATGTGCGACTCATAATAATTCATGTGGATGGGAGAGAAGTGCGAATCGCTAAGGGAAAGTGTGTCGGTCTTGTGATGGAACACTTTCATATTCTTCTCGTTGGCAGCTGAGTGAATGAAAGTAGGAGTAAAGAAAGAAATAGGGGCCTTACTTGGCCTCTAATTATTTTCGGTGCTTACCGGAAAACACGTGACAGATCCTGATTCAACTCCAATTTTTTTAGAACGGTTTTTATGCCAGCCGCGGCATTGCCTCAATATTTGAGCGCTTCACGAACCTCGTCAGATCCTTCAAGCGTGTTGATTGTACGACCCTACGGGGTCTTCATCCATAGAGGTTAGTCGTATTCTTGGCATATTGTTGTATCGTGGTTCTTGTACAACAAATCATGGTGCATTTCATTATATGTCAATCTATCATTACGACTTCTGCGCGTAGCTTCTACGGAAATATTTGCTACTAGTATCATATATCAAGGTTCATGCATGAGATACCTTACCCCGTCTCTTTCACGTGTTCACAATACAGTGCATACAGGGAACTCACGCTCTCTCCGGTCACCTTCTCAAAGAGTTCCACTCTGTATATCGAATCCTTCATGGATCCATTAAGTTTTCGGATAGTCCCCTCGCCACAGCGCTCCTCAATCCAGTCGAGGAAGTACGCCGTAGCATCGTACCCTGCGTCCCACTTCTCCTCAGCTCTACGCCTCCAGTGTGGTGGTGCAAGACCAGCATGCAGCCTCACGAAATCTACGAGTAGTTCTGAAGACAAAATTCAAATGATAGTGTCAAAACGTGCACACCTGCAACACCCTCGATAAGACCCCCCGGACATGTATCGTTTCCATTGTACTGATAGCAATGCACGACCTCGTGAACCAGCACGCCTAGTATTTCATCTCGTGCCCGAGCCTCTGATGATTTGATCCAATCGAGGGAGAAATTGATCTCTTTCATCTCATGCGTGCCGCAAGTGTACGCCACGCCATCGAATGGTCTGAGAACGAGTGTGATTGTCTTGACGCTGGGAGTACAGATGATTCGCAACATGTTTATAGTGAATTGAGAACACGTAGTACTCACTGCGTTGGAGCCGTGAACGGGGTATACAGCCAGGTATAAGATGCTTCAACTGCGAGCTTGAGTGCTTCCTTGGGCTTGACGCAATCAAAGAAGATTGATGCCCCAGGATGTGATAAGTCTTCCACCCTCAACACGAAATTGGGGATTATCCAAGTTGGCGGGGGCGGAAGATCATGGGGAGGCATGGGTAGATGGTGGTATCGCAAGCAGACGAGCAAATGAAGGCGCCAGATTTGAATAGCTTCCTTTATATAGGGCTAATTATGAGATTCATTGTCTCAGGTACTTAGAGCAACAGCAAGTGAAAGTGCTACCGGATTCGGGAGGATCAACCGCATCCGTCGGCGTCAACAAGTCTGATTAGAATTGGAATGAAGCGCCGAAAGTTTACCCGATGCACAGTGGTAACTTGTACTCAAACAAAAGCTACTTAACACTCGTTGCCGTCGGGCTTACTCACAGGTCATACTCCAACACATTCAAACCCTGATTGTGCTCGATTCACGTCTTGGTACCTATCGATGTTAAAACAACCTCAATCCCAACGCACCTCCCCAACACCTCCGCAGCAGAACCTCCATTGAAGCGCGTGGATCCAGAATCTGACCCATGCGCCCTAACCAGGTCTCTAGAATACATCCAAGTGACATCGCCAGCTTGAACCTTCATTCACAAACACCGAATAAACCGGGCGATAAGAGGTTACGCATTACGGTCCGTTGCGGGCATGTCTAATAAAGAAATAAACGCGAAGGCCCGGGGCCGGGGGGCATGTATGTGCCGGTCCAAATTCCAGAGATGGATATGCATGCCAGTGCGCGCAGCGAGTATCGTCAGGATGACGAACTGGGAACTTTACGTGAGTGACGTTGTTAGTAGCAACGCGCATCAGCAGGAACTGCATCAGAGACTATTCGTTTGAAAGGCAAAAATGGATTGTAAATGTTACGTGACTTGTCGGAGGCGGTTGCAACGTTGAGCTCTGCCCTACTAGGCTCTAGCTAAGCAGTCTAGACTCTCTAAGCTAGTGTCGACCCTGGAGACTTGTACTGATCTGTGCAGGTCACAGCTTTTTGGATGTGCAAACCTTAATACTGCCCTGTTTGATGAGTGCACTACTTATCGCAAGGGCCATATCCAATGTATTGATTCTCATCGTCGTCAGGCCCTACTTCTGATTAAACTAGTACAATCAAATGCTAGCACTGATCTGTATCTACTGATTCGCCATTGCTTGCAGAGGAAGCCTGACACCTATCGTAATGGAAAATACCAAAGCCACCCAAATACATTCCACGACAGAAAATATATTCCTATAAGTTGAATGTATCCCGGAACCGATCTAGTTAACCCCCACCAGTCATCGTGCAGCTCAAAGTTCGCCCCATGGAACAAGATGTTCCGCCATACGATCTGCGGTTGAAAATTCGGACAAAAGAAAACGCACATTGGTGTCAGACACGTGTGTATGCGGGTCCATTTGCCAGAGATGGCGGTGCATGCTTGTGGCGAGGATTGCAAGAACGATAAACTGGAGGCTATACGTGTGTAAGTTTCGGGAATGTCTAGTTAGAATGCGCAAAATGTGGTAGTACGTACTCATGCAACATGGCGTGGTATGCGTACTGAATATGCACAACAATGGTTTCAGCTCGATCATAAAGGCATGTAGGGGATTTACGCACATGGAGGAGCAGCGATGTGAAGATGTTCGTCACCGAGAACACTGTAGGAACGAGAGATGAGCACGAAAATATGGCTCGGCGTGCGCGCTTTTTGACTTACAAAGACCACATGCATAGTAGGATATGTTGTGCCTCAGCAGGACAACATAAAGATGGCCGTTGGTCGTCCGCCAGCTCTTGATGGCGCGTACGAGTGTGAGGGCCATGAGTCCTGGGGAGAGTGTCTGTCAGCACCGATTTGAACATAGACATGCTCCTAGTTTCCCACCCAGTGCAAGCGCAAAGTAAAGAAGAAACGGTATGAAGAGTTGGATACTGCTCATAACCTGGTAGCAGCCTGTGATGCCTGGAATATGGCTGGTTGCAACTGTGAAAGTGGGGTGAATGGTAATGATAAGCAAGGTGTTTATGAAAGCGCGTACATGGTGCTGTGGCAGTAGCAGCAAAGGAAATGCTGATGGATGATGCGACAAAAGCCTGACTGAGGAATCTATCACCAGCTTGGGTGTAGTGAACACGGGAGGACTCACAATAGATACTAACAGCATGGATACGACCACGATTCTATTGTTGTTCCATAGCGCGCACGTTCTGAGGATAAAAAAGCCTGATGAATCGGATGAGAAAGACGTGTATGCTGCGGGAAGAAGATGTACTTTGGGAGCAAATGCCTAATATTATGCTAAAACCTAAAAGATAGCTCTCGATCAGGATGTGTGCATAAGGGCATGTAAGATGTACGTACTTGAGCAGATGTTGACCCACGTCCGACATTTCTGGCGACAGCATGCGGTGAGCATCATTCATCTGGTCAGCACTGCAAGTTCACATACACCTGGATTATTATTTGGGACGAGGCACGCTGAAGCATAACATATCAATTCATTATCTGAGATGTGTGTTCGGGAGTCGAAACGCACTATATAGATTCGTGGTGAGGAGTAGAAATGGAACATATCGTGTAAGGATATAGAGGCCTTTTACCTTGGTCCAACGCGATCGATGCAGGAACGTCCACTTTGAGCAGAGTAGTATCAGTAACAACAAAAAAGTTGAAAAATCGACACTTGTTATGAACAAGTGCATTACCTCTTGTTGCAGTGAACAAACATATTCGTAGGCCTGCACAAACGATTTTAGCAACGGACAAGAATACGTCGGGAAGGGCCCACCCAGAATGTAGCCATCGACGCTGAGCTGTAGTATTAGGACAGAGGAGAAGGATTTCAGACAGAACGTACTGTAGATGTACTGATGGTACATGTATTTTATTTTATCATCAACGATCCTCGTATTGACGAGAAAAAGACGCACCGCGAGGATCTGCAGACTTCTCCCTGCTGCGAAAGCATTGGTCAAATGCTCCGTCTCTGTCACCATTCGTTCGAGATGCGAAAAGGGTTCTGCAGAATATACATCGTGAGCTTCTTATCTTATATATGAGCCGGGAGCAGATTGAGATGGGGGCGTAGACATCATTATTAGGAACATAGGTTCAGGTCACAATGATCGCAGTACTACGGAGCTTGACAAACTTAAAGTGGTCGTAAAAGTCGAGCTATTAATAAATAATAACTTGTACAAAATATTGTAACTTTTAATTTCCGTTCAGCATACGAGAACGTGCACAATATCCACTGGCCAGTGCACTATCAGCACTATGCGCTTCATCGACTGAGATGAAATGTTTTTTGCTATCCAGTCAGTCCTGATCCCTTCACCTGAACCCTTGCTCACCACTGACACACCGATTTGAGCAGGCCTAGGACAATTATGGCATCTCATCATTTCGCTAAGTATAGCATCATAGCATTAGAGTCGCTGCCTTACCTCCTGCGCCTCCGAACCGCTCCTCAGTGGAAACCTCGCCGATGCCTATCACGAATCTTAACTGTCCTCGCCATCATGACTCCATTCTAGCATTTCTTCAGAAAGCCTTGTTCCTGTTCGTTTCCTCCCCTCGTCGAACGTCATACTTCTTCAGGTAGTATATGCATTTGAATAATGCGGGCTAGTTGAGCGCACGCTATTTTAGACCAACTGATCTAAGTGTGCTTGGATAACGCTGGAGCGGGGCGCTCTGGCAGAACAGGACGGGACGGGAGCGGTGGCAGGAGTCCTGGCTCGTAGTCGGTAGTCCTCGCGTGTGTTGTAGTCTGTCCTCGATAGACAGAGCTGTAGCCTCCCGCCATAGAGGTCTGGCCTTGGTTCCCTTGCAGTCCGTGCCCGTTCCAACGCTAGAGACACAGCCCACACCTTTGCATCCGGAAAATTGGTCGTTGTTCTTTGTATTTGATGGTTCTTTCAAATCTTTCTGTCCAGTCATAGGCTTTATCCTTTGTCTCTCTGGTTAGTGGTTATCTTGGAGGGGCCTGTGATGAGAGATGCTGATGCACCGTTCGGAGCTACGATGCCATTTGAAATTTGAGATGAACGACTAGTGTGTTGATACTGGCTGTCCATCTGTGTTGTGAGAACTTCTTACCGGGCGGAGAGCTACGATCATGCCAATCACTGGTAACACTGAAGCTGATTTAGTATTTTTGTGATGCCAGCTGCGGCATAGAAGGTGGTTTGGGATGACGTGTCGAGGTCCTATCGTACGGGGACAAATGACAGTGGACTGTTCAACTCAACTTTAAATAATTTGTAATGGCGCTTGCACCTCAACTCCCTGATATCGCTGATTGATTTTACTAGTTTGCCCCGTGTGATGTCGCTCAAGGCTGAGATCTGATGCATGATGGATCAGTGATTTAAATTTGTCATGCATCATCCGGTTACAAGTAGACCCACCGTAGTTGCTGTCAGCAGCATAAGCACATAATTGGCATGCCCCGATAGTAAGCACGTACGCCGACATACTCACCGCGATAAAGAGTCCAAGTGCTTCAAATTTTTAGCTCGACTGTAACGATGTGAGTGCGTGCAACGGAGAGTCAAACCACAATCAACAAGTATCGAGCCGTGGAAAAAAACAGCACAGCTCTGCTGGTGGTGGGAGTTCAACAGAGCTGAGCGCTCAGTGAATAATGAATATCAGTGAAAATCAGTCGGAACCGTCGGACCATCGCCCTCGGACGGAGATCGATGAATTGGTAAGTAGTGAGTAGACCTAAAATCTAGATTCTTGAAATCTAACTTGCGCAAACTTCTCCAAGGCAGGTCATGTAAATTTGATTTGCATCCTTCACGCCTCGAGCTTCATCATGGGTTTCAGCCTGTTGCATTTAAGTTCAATCCAGACTCGGATGAACACGAGGATGCAACGATGCGTGTCAATACTCATTTCAGCCACGAGCCTGAGGTTGGGGGTATTAGGCATTGGGCGTTGGGCGTTGAACATTTGAGCTTCCTTATTCCCTGGGCAGGTACTTGGTATAAGTACAGTGTTCCACTTAAAGCTGACAGCCGCATTCTAGCAAGCAAGCACTACGATGGCTCGCATCAAGAACCAACACACATACACCCTGAAGAACTGTAAGGGAGGTACTGCTATGCACCTCTCGGGTGAAGATAACTACTTAAGTAAGCACATCATCCCTGCTTCAGGGTATCTCAAGCCAGTACTAATGTTCCCTTAACTTAGTCATTGGCTTTCGCCCCTACGACGGTTCCAACCAGGCGGTAATGCGCTTACTTTCCATCCCACTGCGGACAGGTCTTATTAACTAGCTTCTTGGTTCTTAGTGGATTTTCCAGCAGCGCGATGGCGACCAAAACGGGTGGTTCATAAAGTCTTCCCGCTCCGGAAAATATCTTGGGATTAAAGGCAACCCCCAAAATGGCGCCATGGTCGTTGCTGTATCAGGCCCCTTCAAGTGGGATGTCAAAGACTCAAATGTCAATGGCGCTAAAGGCGTTAGGTGCACATGTTTTTCATACCGCGCACGTCTGGTCGTAAATTGGTTTTTGTTGGCAGGATAATGGTCTATGGCAAAAATTTCAGCTTAGACCTAGACGGTGGAAAATTATCAAATCACACGAGAATTCACCTTTGGGAAAGTGGGGGTAGTAGCGCCAATCAGATTTGGGCACTTACCGAGTGGGTTTCCATTAAGGATCAGCACACTTACAGCCTCAAAAATTGTCGGGGAGGCACTACTGTCGACCTCTCTGGAAATGATAACTACTCCAGTAAGCATCATCCCTGTTCCAGGTTGCAGGGAAAATTCACTAACATTGCATAAACCTAGTCATCGGTTTTACCCCCCATGATGGCCCTAACCAGGCGGTAATTTATCATCCCGTCGCGGACAGGCTGTATGTTGACTAGCTTCTTGGTTCGCAGTGGACCTTCCAGCGTGATGGCGACAAGAACGGGTGGTTCATAAAGTCTTGCCGCACTGAAAAATATCTTGGGATCGAAGGCAACCCCCAAAATGGCCTTGCAGTCGTTGCTGTATCAAACCCCTTCAAATGGGATATCGAAGACTCGGACGTCAAAAACGCTAAAGGCATCAGGTTCGCACATTTCTCATACCGCATATGTCTGGATGTGAATTTGTTCTTGTCGTATTTTCAGGATATTGGTTCATGGCACGAATTTCAGCCTAGACCTATCCGCCTCAGACCACACAAAAATTCAGCTTTGGGGAAGTGGCGCTGGTGACAATCAGATCTGGGAACTTACCGAGCGGGTTTCCATCGAGGATCAGCACATTTACAGCCTCGAAAATCGTCAGAGAGGCCCTAAAGACCAAGGCACTGATCCAAAGGCATGTTTCCACCCTATGCTCGTATAATGTAATTGTAACACGAGCATACTTCATGCAGATCCTCCCTGTCACCACGACCGTCCGTGAAGCATTTATCACGGGAGACTTATCAAGGGCTGAAGAGCTACTCACGCAAGAGATCGAAGCTGATGCCACCAACCACATCTCCTATGCTAATCGCTCACTCATTATGGCTCGCAAACTTGACTGGGACCGCGCCCTTCAAAATGCGGCCAAGGTGACAATGACGCATCATACCTCCTTAAAATATGCTAACTATCATCTCGACATAGTCCCTCAGCATAAAGCCTTCTTTGATAGGATATATCACCAAAGGTATAGCTTTCTGCGGCAAACAGAATGTCCGCGACGCCGGGGCAGCCTTTGACTTCGCGTTCACGTTCGCAAACGGAGACTCGAAGATCACCCTTCTCCTTTTCTTGATCAAGGCAGGTTATATTTGTTTTGCATCCACCACGCTTCAAGCTTCATGAAGGGTTTCAGGCTATCGCATTGTTCAATGCAAATGAACATGAAGCAGCAATGATGCGTGTCAAAGAGCTAGCTGCCGGTCCCAGTGTAGATCATGTTGCCTGTCTTGTCGTGGAGGTGAGCATCATCCACTTGATCATGCACTGGTTTGTGCGTAATTGATTGGTCTGCGCTTTGCGCATCAGGCGTATCTGCAAGTCCAACTGGGAACCATTGCCTTCAATAACAAGTTTTACAACGAAGCTGTTGAAATTTTCACTGCCGCTGCGAAGGCCAGCAAGTTCTTTGCCAACCTGCCAATCCATACTATGTACGAGGAATTCACAATGGTACATTGTTCGATGCAGCCGAGAATATTTTTCCTGCTTAACGTATTTTTACAGCTCTTCGGCTGGGACCTCAAGTCGCTGTGGCAATTCGCCAACAGGCATTTGTGCATTATACTACTTCGGACAGGTAGATATGCAGAAGGCCTCGAGTTGCACCTGTCCATGATGGAGGCAAGCGATGAAGCTACAAAGGCTAGCACGCGTGCTTGGTTCGCTGGTGAGTCTTCAGTAATGTCACCCATGTTACGATCTTCATCCGCCTTTCACTTAGCTTTCAAGTAGAATGTAGGGTAATGTATTCTCCCAACGGCGACTCTGCCCTCCATGCAAGCGGCTGCATATGCGTTTTGACACACCGACATCTTCTGTGCGATTATCCCGACATCACGTGTATTTTCTTTTGTATCCACATTGTATATCCGTTTGACGCGTGCACTTCACTATTGATTCATTAAAGACTGACGTCTGAAGATCCTATGTTGATCCCTTCCACGTACTGCCCACAGATCATATATCGGACAGAGAAGTCCAAACGAGAGCATCTATGTTGTGTGACTGCTGGTCGACCTGCCAAATATGCAGGTGCATGCGCAAGGCAAGGATCGCAAGGATGATAGACTGATAACTGGTGTTATCAGTATGAATGCACAGACAAATTTGGACATGCCTACTCTTGGAACATGACGTGGTACTCGTACTGGGTATGCGGAATATCAGTGTCTTGGTCGGTCATACAGTGCATGAGTGGTTTACGCACATGGAGATATCGCGACGTAAAGACGTTTACTGCTGATAAAACTTCCGAAACCAGAACCATCGTTTGAGCATAGAAAGATGGGTGACATATGTGTGTTTTGACTCACACAGACTGCATGAATAGTAGAAAATGTTACTCTTCACCAGGATGATGTACAGACGGCCGTTGGTCATTCGCCAGCTCTGTATGGCATGTAAGAGCGTAAGAAACATGAGACCTAAAGAAACATTGGTCAGGTATCTGTGCATACATATGTCCCAATTGACAAACCCAGTTCAAATATAAAAAAGAGAAGAAAAGATACGAAGAGGTTGCTATTGCTATAACAACCTGTGATGCCTGGGATTGCGCTGGTCTCGTCTGTGAGAGTGGAGAGAGAATGTGAATGGTGGGCAGGGTACCGATTAGGAGGCGAGAGCCCGTACAAGATGCGGTAACAATAGAGGCATAGGCAGTGCCGACGCATGCTATGATGGCAACCTAACTGATACATCTACAATGGCCTTCAGGTACGAGAACATTGAACTCACGGGGGTAAAAGCCAGTATGAAAACGTGCACGAATCGATTATGTCTCCAGAGTGCATATGTTCGGAGGAGGAAGAAGACTGAATGAATTGGATCAAAAACGTGGGCATGTTGAGAGAGAGGAGAAATACATTCGGAGAAACTGACTGATATCTGGCCGAGAACTGTGGGAGGAAAGAGGACTCTCAGCAAAGATGTGCATAAATATCTGTACCGTGTACATACCTGAGCAAATACTCATCAAGACCTTACATTTCTGCAGGGCAATGTCAGATGGTAATCAGTAAGTCTACCGCAAGTTCACATACAGCAGGGTCGTCGTTCGGAATGAAGTTCGCTGAAGTATGGCAAATCAAACTATCACCGAAACAATCTGTGCTGAAGCTGAAGCCGAACGTACCATATAGATGTATGATCGAAAGGAGAAAAGGCACAAATCGGGTAGCGATATAAAGACCTTTTACCTTGGTCCACCGCGATTGAAGCAGGAATGTCCACTTTAAACAACACATGATGATCAATGTATACGAAAAATGAGGCTTATAACGAAGCGTTACCTCTTCTTGAAATGAACAAGCGTATTCATAGACCTGCAAGCAAGTTTACTAACAGCGGACGGAAAGACATCAAGACAAGCCCACCCAGAGTGTAGCCATCGACGCTGAGTTGTGTAAGGACAAGGAAGAGTGATCTAGATAAGTACTCACTGTATACGTGCTGAAGATATGTGATATCATTAGCCCTTCAAAGTATCGAAAACAAAGAGACGCACTGCGTAAATCTGCAAACTCATCGCCGCTGCGATATCTTCAGATGAGTACTTCGTCTCCATTCGGTCGAGAGGCAGAAATTTGGTCTTGCACGCAAGGGATACACATGCACCTGCTTATATATCTCCAGCTGAAAACCCCCGAAGTTTCACTTGAAACTTGAAACGGTGTGTGGTGTTATGCAACCAATATCATTGGCGAATGTAAGCCACTGCACTGCCCTGAGTTAGTTTCCCCCCTTTGGACCTCCCTTTATCAAGTGTCGATCGAATAGAGCTAGTCCCATCGGAATTTGCACTCACCCCGCCGGAAGTGAGTACGTAAAGAATCGGATTGGGTACTGAAGGTTAGCAAATTCTGAAGTCAAACATGAATGACACCGACGTTTCAGAATCATGGCTGTGTCACGGGTCAAGTGTAAAACATCCATCGCCCTCTCGAATGCTCGAGTTTGGAGTGCTTCAAGTTCTGACTTCAGCACACCCAAAATCTTGATCTGAATACATTTATCTACCACTGCAAGCAGTGGAAGCTCGATATCTATTAACAAATCCACTTGAAGTCCATTGCAGCTCCCGCCCACAACAGAAACTGCATTTTTAAGCGCGCGGATCCCAGATCTGACTAAGCTCAGTTCTGCTGACCTCGTACAGTTCAAGCACCACTCCATACACGTTTGAACGACGCCGAACATCACGTCGGACTGCCCGCGGATGAAATGTCAGACATAGGAATGCACACGAAGGCGCTAGAGCCATGTGCATGTCGGTCGGTATGCCACAGGTGGAGGTGCATGCGCGTGGCAAGGATCGCGAGAATGACGAATTGGAAACTGCATATAGGTGTGAGTTTAGGGGTGCTATTAATAAGTCTGCGCATGGCAGGATAAAAATGCGCACTCTTGGAACATGGATTGATATCCGTACTATGAGTACTGGTGATCAATGACTCGGTGGTAGAGAAATTTGAAGGTTCACGCACATGGAAGAGCAGCAACGTAAGGACATTTACCCCCGAGAAAACTTTTGTAACGAGAACCATTGTTAATGAGCACAGGATAATGGCATAAAAACCTGTGTATGTCCTGACTCACACAGACCGCATGCATAGTAGAATATGTTATGCTTCACCAGGACGGCGTAGATACGGCTATTGCTTGACCGCCAGCTCTGTATAGCGCGTATGAGCGTGAGGGACAAGAGACCTAGGGAGCGTCAGTCAGCGCGTGTCTGCGCATGTAAACACCCCATCCCAGGTAACGTACCAAATTCAAGCCCAATTAAGAGCAGAAATGGTATGAAGAGCTGGACGACAGACGAGCTCTGGTAGCAGCCTGTGATGCCCGGGATTCCGCTGGTCGTCCCTGTGAAAAAGCAATGTGAATAGTAGTAGAATGCCAAGGCAAAGGTAGGAGCGCGTACATGGTGCAGTAGCAGTAGTGGCGAAAGCATAGCTTATAGATGATACGACAACAGCCTGACAGCTATACTTACACAAGTTCGAGGTACAGTGAAGATGGGACTCACAAAGAAGGTAGTGATCATGGTGGCGAGCACAATTTTGTTGTTGTTCCAGAGCGTATATGTCCTGAGGACAAAAAAGCCTGTATGGATGTGATCAGGATCGTGAGGCTTTTGCCGGGAAGGGAGATATACATTCAGAACAAAAGACTGATATCAGGCTGAAACCTGTGAGAGGTATGGCTCAGCGAGGATGTATTTGAATGTATGCACGATGCACGCACATGAGCAAATATTGTTCAACAACTGGCATTTCTGGCAAAGTCATGCGGTCGGCGTCATTGAGGTAACAAATCCACTGAGCGTTCACATACATCAGAGTTCTCATTTGGGATGAAGTTCACTGAAGCACGATAGGTCAATTCATGATACGAGTTTAGGAGCCGAACGCACTATATAAATGTCCGGCTAAGAGGAGAAAAGGCACGTATCGTGCGACGAGATAAAGGCCTTTTACCTTGGACCAGCGTGACCGAAACAGGAACGTCCACTATAAAAGGATCGTTAATATGAGAATGAAAATGAACGAGTAAATTACCTCCTGATGAAACGAACAAGCATAATCGTAGATCTGAGCAACAGAGTTTAACAACAAACGGAACCGCAATACATTGGGACAATCCTACCCAGAATGTAGCCATTGACGCTGAGCTGTGTTTAGAACATGGAAGGACTTCGGACAGTGATACGCACTGTATAGGTACTGGCGGTGCATGCGTTATCTATTATTATCAACGACTGTCGGGTTGACAAGGGAACGCACTGTGTAGACCTGCAAACTCCTTGCCGCTATGATACTGTTGGCCGAATACACCGCCTGCATCTGGTCGAGACGCAGAAAATGGGGTTCGCGCGTAAAAAATCCACGGCATGCATCTTCTTATCTCTTATAAATGATCAGGGAAACGAGCAAGCTCCGGGCGCAACGTGGGCACTATTGCAGGAAGAAGGTCAAGCGCGTAAGTCTCGTCATCGAGAATCGAAGCTTCTGCCGCTCCAGTTCTGGAAAGTAAGCGACGTCAATCTGAGTGCGAGGCGAACGTATAGTGCGGCGTTGCAATAGGCGATTGTGCTCAACCATCCAGGGTTGTAAACCCTGGGACCAGTCTCATAAGCTGGCAACCTGAAGTCACCACGAAAATCAAAGTGAGAATCAGTAAATAGAACCAGAATCATTGATCGATGCCAGCATTAATTATAATCCAATACCAGTCTGTTTGCACATCGTGATGGTGAGTAACGCCACGAATACTAAAATGAAAAGACAAAATAAAGACAGACTGTGGTAAGGCGAATGCGCAGACCGTAAAATAACGACGGATAGTCATCTTGTCCGATATTCAAGACTATGTAATAGCGGAGATAGTGCAACGTCCCATGACACAGGAGAACCAGAATAAGCAGGTAGACAAGCGGCGACACGTAAATGAGTCCAGTAAATAGCGGCATCAGTCTGCATTGATGGGTAGCTCAATAGGGCAAGGAGCCGCATCCACCTGTGTGGATTGGGACTGCGTTGACGGCAGCCCGGCAATGTCCATCGTAAGAATGAGCTGGAAATTTACGCCTGTCATTCTGATGAGCAAACAGAAGCAATCATGACATTGCACCGCTGACCTGGCCTTGTCCCGTTAGCATAAATCCCAGCATTCTTGCAGGCATTATACCACTCGTTCCACGTCGGATCCGTGTCATTTGATGCAACATACGAAAAGTTGAGCGGGATCTGAATCTTGGGATATGCCTTGGCGGGGAGTGTGTCTTTTCCAAAGTAACCGGTGCCGACTTGCAGATTCGTGGTCGGATCCCATACTTGTGCAGAGATGTGGTTGATGGTAAGGGGAATAATATTGGCGGTGGTATCAACTTGGATATCTGCGTACGCTGGAAATGAGAAATTGGCTGGGTACCGGGAGAATTGTGTTGGAATTGAAGCATTATAACTCCCAGTGGCGGCAACTAGAGGTGTGGAGTTGTTGATCGACAGACCAGGTACTCGAGGGATGGTGATTGCGAGGATAGAGCCGATGCTACATAATCTTTCAATATCTTCGTGCTCGGGCAGACGAGAATGACTTACATGGCGGCCCACATAAATATGAAGAAGGCAAGGAACCTTTTGGTGAACCACTTTCCACACAAACCCGTCTCCCCACGATGCCAGGCTTTCCACTTCTCTTTCCGCTTCTCACTTTTAATTTCTCGTCGACCCGATTTAGTCATGTTTTTCATCTCAGATAGCTGCCATTCTGGACCAAGTGCAGGTACCGTAACAAGCTCCACCGGAGTGTGAGCACTGTCAGCATCACCGTCTGTCTTGGCACCAGGCGGAGGCGGAGGTGGGGGAAGTTGATGATAGCTGGGTATTGGTTAGCTTGGTAGGACATGTTAGCTCTTTCACGTGCATACCCTGCTTCTTGATGTTGCCCAATGCCGAAAGCAGTGCTGTATCTTGGGCCAGCGTTGTTAAAGTCTGCATAAACATCCCAGGTCTGAGCTTCCGGAGCTTCTTCTTCCTCATCACGTCCGCCTTTCAGCGGTTCTAGGCGTCCGGCGGCAAAAAAAGATGATGCGTTATACCCTGCGGATTGTCCACCCGTTAACATATCATGGCTCGTCCGTGTTTGTCGATCAGCATAGAAAGAAGAAGTATCGTCTCGTGGACGACCAGATGGAGCGTAATCGGGAGATTGTGAATGATTCAGAGCATCAAATGAGCCTCTGCGTCCTCCATAGAACGAAGATACAGTCGATTTTCTGTCGTAGTCCATGGCAAGAGACGAAGCAACGGAAACGAAGGAAACGAAGAAAAGGGTGGCTAGGTGGGAAGTGCCAACCGAAGGGACATGAACCCCGCGCTTGCCATGTCGAACGTTTATGGGGTTAGGGTTAGTTTGAATCAAAACACACGCCGGCGGGCGTCGCCGCTGTGACATTAGGCAGAGTCTAAACTCCGCTTGGTGTTTCGAACGACCGTGACAATCATTGAATCAATCCCGCGCCCGCTTTTCCGCCTAATAGTAACATCGCTGCATGTTCATGCATATGCTCCGCTTCAACTCTGCCCGTCCCTCCTTTCGGACCTTTCCCGCTGCCCATTTTCTTTCGTGCCCACCAACACTCTGTTCTTTTCCCGCCCCCTGCCTGGTAATAACTGCCTCGTTGCAACAAGGACGGACACAGAAACATTCATACTCCGCTTGGAGGTGCCGATATTCAACAGTACTTTGGCCCAGACCAGCCATTTCAGATACCCTTGAGCTCAAATACGTAACTGTTTCGCTACAAGTCTTTGTTTTCTGTAGCTGATGAAAAAAGCATGCAACATCATGAATTTAAAAGAAGTTTACCCTGTTCGAACTTCGGATCAACTAGCCTGGCTTCAATGTGTGACATACCCGGGCCATGTTACAGTCTGAGAACAACCAGGAGTTCTGCGGTAAGACTCAGGATTCCTTTGTTTTTACCGTGAAGTATTGATATCGATTTTGTGAGTGTTGTGCTTTCTTCTTGGCAAGGACGAAAGTTTCACTTGACGATATTCTAGTTGTTGACTCAACCCAACTTGCGTCAGACTATTTCGACTTACCTGGCACCATGAGATGACAAGTGGTATCCAAAAACACTGGGCTCGCCTATCTAGCTGACCCATTAATATGCTCTGGAACGGATGCATCCTAGGCGCCCTAGTCACGCCTACATCCACCATGACTGCTCACTACGCGTGGTATAACATCAGGACTATCCTTATCCTGATGCTGGGCAGTCTACATAACATATGGTAATGCGGACAGCGTTACTCTTGGACAGCCAGGATTCCTGACCTAATTCAACTTGGCAGAAAATACAGCATATTCAAACGTGATAATAGGCACAATCAATGGAATTTTCTCTGCAAGTGGTGTTTGTGGGATGGATATGCGACCGATACGGCAGACAAATAACAATGGCAACCGCTTCCGTGTCTAATTCTAGTGTCCTCTTTGCAGGGTCCGTGATTGACGCAATGCTTATTGCGGTGTGCTTCATATCCGGCCGGGCAGCAGGTATGATGGGCTGAGATCATTCTGATTTCGGGAACGGAGGTTTCTTTGCTTTCCCCACGGGGGCTTCTCGTGGGACGGCGTTGTGAGTTTTTGCAGTACTCTGGACATATTTTGACCATGCTGTATTCCTTATTCGAAGGTGTTTGGATTGTTGTGGCAAATGCGGCCACCGAATGAATCGCTGTTAGCACATTGCTCGACCAATCTGAGCTTTCAAGGATGTATTTTCAGTTTGCAATTGCAACTGATGCTTCTCTTCTAGCAACCGGAGGAGCAGTATTGCTCCAGACTGATGCAACGAGATATTCTCATCGCACATACGCGCACCAGGCATGGCATTCATGATGGCCTAACGCCTCTGGTGATCGAAATGCAGATACGGAATGCTATGATACGCTGGATGCGGTTGTTTTGTTCCTGCTTACTCGCCTACTTATTCGTCTTGTTGTGGGACATAGTGGCACCACATGTAGGAAATCATTTCTGGGAAGGGGATATTTGTGTCCCCCAGCCCTTCGTCATTGCATGTTCTCCCGGGCCCGGCCCGCCAATTCCGTCCACCGTTTTACATCCCTATCCAGGATCGTGTGATCAGATTGATGTCCGAACAAAAATAAAGTCGGTGGCTTTGATTGGCGGTGTAGACCAGCGCTACGGTAGACTTGATTCTTGGTTGGGTCCTAATTACTGTTTACTCCAGCGGTACATACAACCTAGTTTCATGTCTTGTTCTGTTTCCGTCAGAGTACACTCGTGACTTAGATCAGTTTCTAGTGCATGGGATATATATAAGTTATTATCGACACGTTTTTATTGCAGTTCGTCATATACAAATGATGTGGAGGTTATTCACAATTAAACACCGGTCAATCATCTTGTGATGTACGTGAATTGCAGTGAAATTGATGACGATGCAGCATTACTTATACTATTGAGGTACGTTAAAATTTATTAAAAGCACAAAGAGTTACCTAACCGTTCCTGGGACCATTAGCCCAGAGACACGTCTTCCCTTTCATTTATCACATCACGCTCATCATGCTGTATACCTGTACAGGCTTATCCATCCGATATCTTACGGTGTTTTTGTCAAGAATGGAAGCGGACATCGCACGACGCCACAGACTGTCACTAGAAACTACATCCAAGATGGGATTTTCTTTCCGTGGTGAAAAAAACTCCCTTTGGATTACGATATGATTCACCCTGAAGCTAACATTATTTATTGCTGATGCAAGGATTACAGTATTGCAGAACTTGTTTCGACCGCCAGCTGAATAGAATATCTCGAGCTTGTTTTGTCTTGCGCCGGCTGGATACTAGTATGCCTGGTTTATTAGCATTATCAACTCTCTGGTAATACTAGTACCTAGCAATGCGTAATCCGTGCATGCGATGATTTATTTTTCGAATATAACTAAACGTGCACCTCACTTGGCACTTGGCTTGGATCCTTGAGGTGCGACGCTATGGACTTGTTGCCTCGATGTGACCCTGAATCACCATCCGGCAACAGCGGCCACTACTATTAACCGGTGGCCCGATGATGAGTCCTGTTCAAATGTCAAGCTGATGTTTTGAGAATATTCTCCAAGAGCAACAATTCGGGGCTAACCGATGCCTCCGTATCCTTCGCACATGTTCCATGGCATATTTAACCGAGTGAAATGGAGGATAGTATCTATATATGTACTAGTCAGCCAATTCGACAACAACAAGACCCATTCTTACGACATAGGCCGCACATACGTCGCATTATTATCACTCCTGTGAGAATTATACGAGATTTAATCCTATTTGTGTTTGACAATGTTCCGTATAACATGTCAAATCCTAAGAACAAGACGCTCCGTCATAATTCACAAAGTTGTCGGAACCGTCTCCGCCATCGATCATATCGAAAGGAATTCCCGAATCGTCAGACAAAGACGCCTCGTTCGGCTAGGGTACAGCGGAACATCATGATCAAGAGCAGCCCCATAATAGTGTATAGAAACGAAAAGAATCCAATACGTGACGTTTCTGATGCGGCGCCAGCCGGCCAAATATGTAAGTGCAAGAAATTGGAGTATGCGGCGAGAAGAAGCCCGTGGAGCGTGGAAGAAAAAGCGCGACGCGCATGTGCCATCAAACAACGCTTGCGAAGCAAATAAATGAAACGTGTCAAGGCATCTACCGGCCATCTAGTAGAATCCGACGAAATCCGTGTCCATACATGATCATTAATAATGATGGTCTCGGTCTTGTGGCGAGGGTGAGTATTACCCAGTGAGAATCATCAATCTCGGGAACGAGGGAGCGAGAGCTCGCTCAGCATAACGGACGGATCCACAGCATCTCAAAGCTCGTCACAAATCAGACATGCTGTGCGTCCGCAGCAGCTTGTTCGAGCACATTGTCAACCTCTCGAAATTGGTTCATCTACATGGCGGCGTGGCGGAGGAAGGTAATTCGGCGGAGGGCGGACTGGCCCACCTTGCAGTGACCGAAGTGGCACTGTAATTGTGTAGAGGGGAGCTGCGATTGATCTTGCTGTGTAGGGGGGAGGTGGAGCTGGACTCGAAAGGTCGGGCCACGAGCCTGATGTCCCGCTGTCAGTGACGGCATGCGAGACACGACGAGCGCCTGAAGGGAGTACGTATCCTGGCGCCAAAAGATATATGGGTGTATTAGTTCGTACACACACATCAATAAGGAACATGACAGTTCACCGAGAATACGAGGGGAGATGCCTGAAACGTGGATTTGGAACAATAAATGAATGAGGTAGACGGCAAGGAGAATAGACACTATGGGATCGGCACATTAACAGAGTCAGCTTTGAGGTCGGGCGTACAGCGGTGACTTACGGAAACCGGCTACAATACCGATAACAGGCTGCCACTGCAGGTCACTGGTAGTTGGCGCCGCATTGTTTCCGGCAAGGCGAGTGCTGAGCATGACACGAAGGAGGGGGGCACAAACGGGGGGCATGATCGATATGTTGGGGACTGAGTTGCATCCAGTCGACTTTTATATGCTTAAAAGGGGGTGACCGCACTGAGTTTTAAACTGACATAAAAGTAGTGACATTACTGATCCGGACCCTCCAAAAGTATGGCAAGTTTATTCATAAATAGGAACGATGTATCGCGGGAGAAGAACTAACCTGTGCACCAGCCTGACAGAACATGGAGGGGTGCGAGAAGCCGACTCGCGGAATAAAAATGCATAGAGAAGCAACTGTTACGCAACCGAGTAAGATACGGTTCTTTGCGAAACGCCATTACGGGCCGCAGCTCTAGCCTTTGTGATGGGCTCTGATAATTTTTTCCCACAGAGCCAACCGCTGAACGAGGGCATCCGTATTCGCTCTCGAATACAGTGGATCCGGACCATCGCCATTCATAGGCACAGAGCGTTTCCACACTAGCTCGTCGATGCGCGCCAGGAATTCCATAGAAGACCTGACGTCGTCAACACTACTGGGGTGTGGACAAATCGGACCTTCGTCCAAGAACTTAGAAACTAGGTTTCTGACAGAACGAGGGGACAGTCGTAGTGATGTGATCAGTCCCTGATGAGATTGCGTTGTCAGCGTGAGCTTTACAATAACCCTAAGCTAGAAGCTCACAGCGAGAATATCCTTTGCCTCATATTCGGAAAGGTTTGAGATTTCCTCCAAGTGAGCGGGTTCAAGACCTCGTTGTAGATCAGAACCCTGTGCCTGATATAAGGGGATGGTGTGATTGCCGGAGGGCTGAGCAGAAGGTTTTTCTGTTTGTAAGCCATTTGGCGGAAGATGCCGTTCCGTGACCAAGGTGCGGAGTTTTTCATAGTGATCGCGGAGGGAGTGGATCTCAGAGGTAGCGTGTGAGAGCGCGCTGTTCAGTTTTTCGAAGTCAAGTGGTCCAGTGAAATCTTTGACCGTACCCTACCAGGCCGCAAATGGACATCAGGATCAGGCGTGAAAATGGGCTGTGATCAACGCACCGCATGTAAAGATGAAGATTCCGTCAGCGGTGCAGCTAGGTCTGTGGGCCTCGTCATGACTTTCTCTGTGGAACTATCCTACTGTCATGAATTGGGGGTCCACATTAGATTCGTTTATAACGTACCTGATGAGGGAGCGGTATCTTATCACGGGGCAGAGAATTTATGATAGTAATTTGCGCATTTGGCTCGTCCGACGCCCGCGATAAAAATTCTTGTTCGTCAGATCTGGTGCGAACCAACTCGTCCGGGGAGGAATAGTGCGATGTGTGAACTGAAAATGTGGAGTGCTGTGTCTGTATACTCCCACTCCGCATATTTTGATGCAATGGTGCGGAAGAGCCGGCTGAGGTTAAGTGTGATCCCTGCCGTCTCCGATCAGACGATTGGCTTGACGGCGATTCGGACCTAGAGAGACCGCGTCTTCTAAGAACCTGATGGGACGATCAATGGAAAAATCCTGTGGTAATGAACGCACATACATCCTGTATATCGTTCGCATGCTGCGCATCCAAATGGTAGGTATCTGGACGGATATCGGGCGATTTGTTATCGATTCTTTCAGGGCCTAAATTTTTTGTTGCGAACATGAGACGGATCTTATCAAAAGCTAGTTTGCCGGATGCGTCCCGTAGCAGGATGTCGGGATGAGGGTGTGAACCCGCTACCGCAATATCATGTATATCATCCGATGCGAGAAGGTCTATCAGGGCGTCAAAGCTACTGTTGGCATCATCTGGCGACTGTGGATTCACAGTGTGATTGGCATCAGTACCCGTTGACTGTAAGTTCGGCATGTTTGTCAAAGCGAAAAGTGAATGCGATGGAAGGTCATGTCAGTACTGTCGATATGGTACGTTTCAACATCGAGGCAAGGGATATCTAAATTTGGATGAGCAGTTTACATGTAGCATGGGCTACTTACATAATGTAGGTCCAGGCAAAGAGTCGCTTCGAAAATGTTGTTTACAGTCTCCTTCAAGCTCGACGATTTGGACCGCTCAGTTGTGTTTGCTGTAGATTTTGAAATCGCGCTGTTCGATTTTTTCGAGGTTAAACGCCATAGAAATTCGATACGCGTGGGGCAAATTGTTCTGCACTGGATCGGAATACTTGACCGAGTTTGGTAGTGCTGATGTCGCGACCCAGCCCTGGCCCTAGCTGGACCGTCCTTCCAGGTAATTGTCCTCCAAACCGTCAAAATTTCTACAGCTCATTTGATGCAAGAGCCTCCAAACACTTCCCCTGCACCAACACCACGATCTGACCCTGCCAGTGATCTCGGTGACGACGAAGAGGATAACTTTGACGCACCCCCAGGGAAGAGGAAGGCTATCGAGAGCCCTGTTTCTGTTCCGAGGCCTCAGAAGCTTGCGCGTTTCAATGATAATAATCAACACGAGAAACGGGCTGAGGTATCACAGTCTGGTAAACGAACGAATGGTACCGCTCCTAGTAGTCTAACGCAACCTCCTAAAATCGCCAAGACATCCCGTTCTTCATTTTTGTCCCAGCCTGCGCGTGCACAGCCTGTGCGTCCTGAGAAAGGCAAGGATCGTGCGTCAAGTGGACAGTCAAGCTCCTCGCTGAGTGATCACATATCAACCATGCTCGAGAAGCAGACTGCGCGGCTCAAACGCGCAGAGATAGCTCGCAAAACAGCTCGCAAGACCACTGGAAGTCGCAGAGTATCTAATTCAGATCTTATTCGTGCCGTACAGAAGCCCAGCAGTGCGTTTACCCGCCTTATCTATGCTTCGGTGTATTAACTAGTATGCGGCGTGTCAAGGCGGTTCTGAAGTTTCTTCCGCTGCTACTCGCGTGCGAAGAGGTCAGACTCATGACCTTCTTTTTTACTACACGACGCTAATGTCTTCACCTAGTTTCCGTCAGAAGGTTTCCGCGCGGTCGACGACCTCCCAGTACAAGCGTCATCGAGCTCACTGACTCTTCGGGTTCTGCGAGACGAAGAAGGGCTCGCGGTGACGATCCCATTATTATCTCGAGCTCAGGTGCAGACACTCCTCCGAGACAGCCCTGGCCTTCACAGACGCCAATTTCCCGCAAAGCAGGCCCTAAACTTCCACCTCCTTCTGATGCTGAAGTTATTTGCATATCTGACAGTGATGACGACAATGTTCCCGCTCCTTCGCAAGCGACTGCTGTCCTTCCCGTCCAAGAGCCCAGTCCTACCTTACCTTCGGCGCCTTCGATCATCGTGGAATCAGAAAATGAAATCGTGGTCGATTTAGAACATCAGGTTCCAGAAAATTCGTACTATGAACTAATGGAACCCGAGTCCAACTTTGACGAAGAACTAGCAAGATCAGAACTCCAGCGTCAAACAGAGGAATTGTTTTCGTACATTGATTTGGACCCCCCAGAACCAAATTTCGCTGAACAAATTACCAGTCTAATTGCCCATGATGACTGCAATACTGCTCAGGAACCAGATGTTCCAGCCCCTGACATACTTACCCATGCCACTCTTCCATCCTCAGAGAAAGCAAGTGGGACTTCTTCAAGTGACACTGTTCCGATCGAGATAACCTCTCAATGCATTGTAGTCGACACTATTTCTCATTTAGAGTCCTCATCAAGCTCGAAAGTTGCCTCAGAAGTTCCCTCCCAGATGCACGCTACCGTGCCCACCATAGCTAAACCCTCAATTACATGGAATTATACCCCTCCCACCACCAACCCGTTCTTCGCTAGGGCGCTTGCTTTCAACGCAAAGGCGTTGAAAAAACCTTTACCCTCAGCTGCTCAGGTAGCTAATGAACCGAAGGCAGCTACTTCTTTCGCTGCCCCGGCTGCTTCGCCAGCTATTGTCGGGTCTTCCATAGCAAACATCCTGTCCGAGCCCTTGCTGTTCGAGCAGGCTTCTGACGCACCCACGGCGAGAAACAACCCAGCCTCATCACCCTCGCCTGATCACTTGCTACCTTGTGACGGTGATAGGAGTGTTTTTTCACCCATTGTGGATGAAGCTACGGTAGAGGCACTTCAACAGCTTCCACAAATAGACTCTCGCGACGATATCAGGGCTTCTTCGACTCGCAGTGACCAGCCTTCCACCCGTGAATCTACTGTCATGAAGGTCCCTATCTCCATATCGGACATACCACCACTACCAGCAACCGCCCCTCCCTCATCCACCCCTCTCCCTGTCCCACCACGTGTGCAGCGGCCCATTAAAGGACTCTCGCTTACCGAGTTGATTAACAAGAGACGAGAGGAGCACTTCAGGTTGCATCCTTCTGGCGAATGCATCGACCTCACGGACGATGTGTCTCCTTCACGCGATGGTAGTCAGGCGCCCGGTGTATCCAAGCCTCAGGAATCTGTCCAATCTCTACATACTATATCTCAAAATGCATCTTCATTACCTGCCCCAGTCTCTGCCAGTCAGCCGGCGCCAACTATTGATACCCGTACGCCGAGTATACAAGAAATTCGCGATTTAATGCGGCAGCGTCCGTTGAGCAGTAAACCCAGCATGTCTTCAGAAGCCAGCAATCCAAGCACCTCGTCTGTAGCATCCGCCGCCAGCGCCCTCGTTCCCAACATCTCTCCACCTCATTCCATTACATCCAATTCAACATCATCCAGCAACCAAAGCAGCTCGAAATCTAGCCCGCGCAAGAAGACCCGCTCTATAGGCATGGCAAGCCTTGAAATGTTCATCTCACCCATCCCGAACTGGTCCCAGTCCGCGTCGACGAAGAAGACGACACCGCCTACTGTGAAGAGAACCTCATGTAATGCGGATATTTTTAGGCGCATTATTACGCCTACGGCAGAGATATCGATGCGCAGTCCCTCGTTGTCTCCTTCTGAGGGTCGGAGAACCAGGCGTGTTGTTCGGCCATCCAGTCCGCTAGGTGTTGGCGCTGGTGATGTTGCCGCGCAACTTGATGATCAGTTTCATGTACTGCCTGAGCCACTCGAGGGTCCCAGAGTTACACCGTTTGCTATCCCTGCAGAAGGAGAGATGGAAGTCCAGAACACCTCTGCGCATCAGGACGTCCCCCTAGATGACGTAATGGACGATATGATTCCATCGGAAGGCTTGCAGGGTGTCACTGAGAGCATTGGATCGCTGGATTTACATGAACACGGCCGATCCCCTGAAGTAGATATCAATGTCAATCAGGTACGTATAGCCCTCATGGAATTCACCAGGCGAACTGATCTAACATGCTTCATTAGGTAGTCGATTCGCCTCTAGAGAGTGTATGTAAAGACGGGTACCTTGAAGGCATTCCGGTGTCTGCCGAATTGATGGAACACGAGGAGTTAGAGTCACTGGGGATGTTGGTAGATGACGTTTCGGCTGAGAGTGTGGAGGAAGCTTTGGTCACTGTTCATGAGCGCCTCGATGTTGACGAAGACGACGGTGGTGTAGGTATGAGAGGAACACGGGAATTGGCGAGAAAACGCACGAAGGCAAGGTCAAGACCTGTGTCGATGGCTGTGTCAGGAGATAGCGACGATGAGCGCCTTTCAGTGCTCATGCAATTGGAAGTTTCAGATGGAGAGGTGCGTTGCTTGTTCATGGCAGGGTGCCTATGTGACCTTTTCTTATCCTCTAATCGCAGGCAGGAGATGCGGATCATCCGATCTCCATCAACAGCAGCCGGACGGTATCTTCGCACACTTCTTCAAGACAGCTTTCTCGGTCTCCTGTGTCTACCGGTTCCTTGGGCGTCGCCGGTGTGGTAGATGGAGGTGATGCTGCATCCATGAAGCAGCTCGAAGAGGGTGTCGACTATTATATGGATGGATATCCTGTTGTGACATGGAATTCGTATTCGCAAGCACAGCGGCTGCTGCCTCCCAAGTACCGTCTCGCAAAGGACCTTCCGCATGAGCTCCAGGACCGTGTCAATGCCCTCCCTCAGTCGTACAGACATTCACATCAGGCAACCGTGCTCTTCGAGGCTATGATTGATGAAGCAATGGATGACGAGCTCGGAGCCCCTCCCATATCAATCATTAACGAGGTGACCGACGAAGGCGCGCCGCCTTGGGAATTCGTATACACGAACCAGATGTGGTATGGCGAAGGCGTTCCTGCGCCAGATATCAAGAATCTGAAGAGCTGTGGCTGTGTTGGGCGATGCGATCCCAAGTCGAAGACGTGCGGGTGCGCGAAGCGGCAGCGCCAACATCTCAAGCGGTATATTGCCAACGGTACTATACCTAGCACCTGGAACGGCGTACCGTTTTTGTATGACAACAAGGGGTCTCTACAGTTTTTCGAGATGCCGATCTTTGAGTGTAATGATTTCTGTGGGTGCGATGAGGATTGTCCCAACCGAGTAAGGACCGTTTGTTTGTGCGTTCTTGTTGGTGTTGACTGTTTATTTTTCAGGTTGTTCAGAGGGGCAGGAGATATGCCATAAACATCAAAAGGACGGAATTCAAAGGATGGGGTGCGCTTTTGGTATTGTTGCTCCTCTATGCAATGTTATTGACTGTTTTCAGGTGTCTTTAATGGGCCGAAGAGAATTCCCGCAGGATCATTTATCGGCATCTATGCTGGCGAGTTGCTGACCGTGGAGGAATCTGACCGCCGTGGAGTGTGAGTGCCCAGTGTATGCGCGAGACATGAGGTCTTAACTGTTGGCTAGGCTATACAACAAGTTCGGACGAACTTACCTCTTCGATATCGATTTCCATTATATGGGTGCAGTAGCAACATACTCTGTGGATGCTTATCACGCCGGAAACGTTCGTCTCCCTAATGATTGTTCCTTCATTCTCTGATGATTTTTCTTTAGTTCACTCGTTTTCTTGTACGTTTATTTTATCTCAAATCTTTGCACAAAGCTGACGTCATTTTTGCAGAACCACAGTTGCGACCCTAATTGTGAAATTGTTCCGTGCTACATCAACGAAGCCAATATGGAGAAGCCGTTGTTGACGATCTTTACCAAACGAGATGTTGAACCATCCGAGGAGCTGTCCTTTTCCTACATTGGCAGCATCGATAAAGACACGGTATGCCGCTTATTACAGGCACCCAATCCAATCAAACTGACAGCCTTTTTTAAGATATCCAAGGCCAAAAATGCGAAAAAGAATAAAGATGCGGTCTATGCGGAGTGTCATTGTGGGAGCGCAAACTGTTTGGGAGTGTTATTTTCGTAAATAGTACTTTTTTTCACTGAGCTGTCATCATCGATATCACTCTGTTTAGCCATGAGGTTTGCAGTTTATATATGTGCGTTGCTCGATAAGTTCCACGTATCTGTTCCTTACCGCATTGACGCATACGACTGCAAGCTCCTTCCTTGACTTAATTAAGAACTGGAGACTTGCGGACTCCGGAATGATTTTTCCAGACTCACGTGATATATGTAGGGACCCGCCACAGACGCGTTTAACCTCGAGATCGCGACGTCGGGCCAGGGGTCCCGAGGCAGCCCTGGGCTCTCCGAGGTCTCAGTCTGACAGCATACACTCACACGCACAGCTCTTGTAGTGACACACCATCCATTCTCGCAGAGACCTCAGTCCATAGTCTTCGCCCCAGTTCAGCGTTGCAAAGCTAAGGCCATTCGCTGCCAGCAACTTGAAATGTGGAAACTCCATCCTACTTCATTAAAGTCTGCCGGGTTCATTGACCCTCTGTCCTTCAGCGTCCTATCGCAAGTCCATGATCAATGATTGACACTGCCAGCTAATGCAAAGCAGGTACTGATTTTCCGGTGTTCACGTAACTCCCCTCTTGGCGCCGCTCTCACCACGGCGATTTTGAATATTTTTGGCGCCACGTACCCGCGTGCTGCACATCCACATGATACTCCAGCTGAACTTTTATAAACAGCCGCAGTTGAACCAGTCGCGTCTTTGACCCACACAGTATCAATGGCCCCTTCTCGTTACGTTGGCATACTCGCGCTTGTCGCGGGATGCCTTCTGCCTTCTGGTGTCCGGGCTCTCTGGCCCATCCCACATACACTCGAGACAGGGACCACCGCCCTCACGGTCTCCCCTTTCTTCTACTTTGATGTGCAGGTCGAAGGCGCGCCACTGGATTTGTACGAGGCAGTCTCCCAAGCGCAATTCTATCTTGCAAACGACAAACTTGGACGTCTTGTCGTCGGCCGTGGCGCAAATGACACTACTGCCCTTGTTGGCGCGAACACGCTTTCGACGTTGACCCTGTCTCTCATGAGCGGGGCTACTGCAGAGCCTATTGCTTCTGAAGCTGTGAAGCCACTGGGCACCCGTAGCGAGGAGTACACATTGACAATCCCAGCAGACGGTTCAGCTGCTACTTTGGTGGCGAACTCGACGTTGGGTCTGTACAGAGGGCTCACAACCTTCAATCAGCTTTTCTACTACTACGGTGGAGTGACCTACACTTTACTTGCCCCAATTGCTATTACGGATACTCCTGCATATGTGAGCAGCTATTTTTGATGGCCGTTACTTGAAACCCACGCACGTAGCCTTTCCGAGGATTCGCGCTGGACACCGCGAGGAACTATTACCCCGTGAGTGATATTCTGCGAACTTTGGATGCAATGAGCTGGGTCAAGGCGAGTGTTTTCCTTATTTGTCATCTCATGATCGCTTACAACCTAGACAGATCAACACTTTCCACTGGCATATCACAGACAGTCAGAGTTTCCCGCTTGAAGTTGCGCAGTATCCCGAGCTTGCTATCAACGGTGCATACTCTCCGCAAGAAGTTTACACCCCTAGCGATGTCCAGTATATCGTTCAGTATGCTGGTGCAGTATGTTTTTCTCTTTATCGATCCTTTTTGGCTACTTATGATTATTTCGCAGAGAGGTATTGATGTTCTGCTGGTTGGTATTTATTAGTCAACTTTTCAAAATGGGCTCATTGTTTCACCAGGAAGTCGACACACCCGGCCACACTTCCATAATTGCGGCCACTTACCCCGACTACGTTGCATGCTTTGATGAAACTCCATGGTCCACATATGCCAACGAGCCCCCCGCCGGCCAGCTTCGTTTTGCACTCCCCGAGGTTGTGAACTTCACTGCGTCATTGCTTGCCGATATCGCAAGTACCGTGCCCTCGTCCTACTTCAGCACGGGGGGCGATGAACTGAATGTACCATGTTACACCAACGACTATCCTACACAGCTACAGCTCAATAGTACGAACACGACGTTGAACGATGCTCTGAACACGTTTACGCTGGCGACACATGGCGCACTTATTGCCGAGGGAAAGACACCGGTTGTGTGGGAAGGTCCGTCCATTTCTCCTTTCGAATAATAGCACTCGATGAAGCCGGTCACTCAGAGATGGTCCTCGACTGGAACATTACACTCTCCAATGAGACTATTGTAATGTAAGCATATTGATAGTATGATCGGGTTCCGCTGATTCAACTGTACCCGGACAGGGTCTGGATTTCTTCTGAGGATGCTTTAGCAGTGGCAGAAAGAGGTTTCCGGCTCGTCCAAGCACCATCTAATTACTTCTACTTGGTCAGTCCCTGCATTCTTCCCACAGTCAAAACATCCTTATCGTATCATCATAGGATTGTGGTGCTGGTGCATGGCTGGGAGATGACCCAACTGGGTTCGTTCCCATCATATCGATTGTTTAATCTGAACTGACATGTCTTGGGAGAATAGAAATAGCTGGTGCGACCCCTTCAAGACCTGGTCTGAGGTACCGCTTCATGACCGTTTCCAATGACCGCACATCTCATAACATTTTAGTCATACACCTTCGATCCCTTGGCAAACTTAACGGAGGCACAGTACGAACTCGTCCTCGGAGGTAAACGCGCTTGCTAAAGTCTCGAGATTATGCCAAATGACACTTTCTAATTCGCAGGCGAGCAATGTTTGTGGAGTGAGCAGTCAGGTCCTGAAAATCTCGACCCTATCGTTTGGCCCCGTGCTGCATCTTCAGCAGAGATTTTCTGGAGCGCTCAACAGCCTACAGGCGCCCCGTTGAACGTCACAGAGGCACTACCTCGCTTGCAGGTCAGTACTACTTCTAGTTCATTACTCAGACGACTGATTGCACATGAACAATCCAGGACCTCCGCTTTAGGATGGTACAACGCGGGCTCAAACCCATCCCACTCCAACCTTATTGGTGTGCGATCAGGCCTGACGCATGCGACCTGACGGCTTGATAGTTAGAACTTTCACGAACAATCGATAACGTTACAACGATGTCTTGATTTGCAATGTGACATAGACACTCCGTGGCTCAAGTACTGAACGTTAAGACACTTTCTCGTATGTGAAGACGGACGGTGCGTTCGGCCGGCCATTCAAACTTGACCCACTCCAATGTGCCCGTGATAGTCATGTTAGCTAGAAAGATTGCGTGAGCGAAGAAAGAAAACGAACACGCCGTCACATGCCTTCGTCTCCAACATTAAAATTGAGTGTTTTGAACGGCAAAG